CTAACCTTCATGCATTTCTGCATTTCTCACACTGTCTGCAGAACACGAATCACCCGTGTCCAGTATGGTCACACGGGTGACACCCCCTCCTCCCTCCCCTCCCCCCCCCCCTCAGAGCCTCCTAGCTGAACTCTCAGGTGGACCAGATCAAAGCCCAGAGCCTCCTAGCTGAACTCTCAGGTGGACCAGATCAAAGCCCAGAGCCTGGGTTGGGGGCCCCGCATGGGCATCCCAACACTGCACCAATGCATGTTGCCCAGCCCACCTCCTGGCAAGGGAGCCTCCCACCATCACTGGGAACAGCGGCCTGGCCAATCAGGAATTCTCACGGGACTGCCTCACGGAAGCTTCCTTAAAATGCACCATGATTCCCTTCCAGTATTAGTGATGGATGCTTGTCTCTTGCTGTGCCTGACTTCCAGTGGAGCAGATAAATGCAGAGGGAAATAGCCACGCAGGTGGTAAAGGGTTTACACGCACCTTTGTCATAGCTGTGCATCACACACACGGGTGGAAGTGGGATCGTATGCAGGGCGCGGGGCGGGGCGGGGGAGTTGGTGCTGAAGAGTCAGTTTCCAGAGGGTCTTCAAACAAATTGCCGGTGGCTAGCTGGGGACTACTGTCATCTTAATACTTAGAGCTGCCCTCTCCCAAGACAGTCCTCCAAACTCCAGTGCTAGAAAAAGAAGAAGAGAGGAGGAGGAGGAGAAGTGGAGGAGGAGAAAGGACGAGGAGGAGGACAAAGGAAGAGGAGGAAGTGAAGGAAGAGGGGAAGGAAAGAAAGAAGAGGGAGAGGAGGGGGAGAGGGAGGAGGAAATGGCTCTGCTGAGGCCTCTGACACTTGGGGCTGCTGACGCCCACAGGGCCCCATCTGGAAGCCTTGGAGAGTGCCAGACCGCCCCCCCATCCACTGTGCCATGAGAGCAGGGCAGGTCCTGCCCCCTCCAGGCCCAGACTTGGCTACTTGGGGTTCAGGTCCGGCCAGCACGCTTCCGTGCGGGGATTTCCCACCCTGGGCCTCCCTGCTTCTCTGCTCCCTCTGCCAGCTTGATGCAAGGCCCGGCCTCATCTCCTTCACCCCATTGTCAGCGGCACCCCAACTCTAGGTCACCCTGTACTGCCGTCTCTGCCGTCCAGATGCCTCCGGAGACAAGGCACGCACACATTTGGGCATCACACGGCGGGTGCATGGGCCTGGGAGTGTCACAGCGCACGCCGCCATGCTCGTTTCTCCAGCCTGGGAGCCTGTCCTGAGCTCTGCCTCCCTGACAGCCTCTGCTTAGAGTCGGGGGGGGGGGGGAGGGGGGCGGGGATGGAGGGCGGCTGCCCACTGCCCATTCACGTGCACTCCTCTGCTCAGAGTCGGGGGGGGGCGGGGATGGGGGGCGGCTGCCCACTGCCCATTCACTGCCCCAGCGTGTGTGCGCTCCTCTGCTCAGACGCTGTGCCCACCCAAGCCTCCTTCCCCACCAAGCTCTGTTCTAACACCCTTGATTTATCTTCTCCCTACGTCTCTCTGCGCGGAACGCGGCTTACTCATCCTCTCCTGCCTGCGTTGGCAGGAGCATGGCCCCCGACAAAAGGTATCTGTAATGTCCCCACCCCCGCACTCACAGCCCCCCACAGCGCCTGGCTCTCAGGCCTTGGGGATCACTGAGTGGAGCCTCCTCCCGGGCTCGGCTTGGTCCCGCGCGTCCCCTCTCCCTCGGGAGCGGTCCCTTCCTCAGACTCCAGCAGTGTCTGCCCGCTTGTCTCAGCAGTCCGTTCGTGGAGTTGCAGGAACACAGCTTTTGTTGTTTGTTTTTTAAATGCAAACCAAAGGAAGATGGCCTTTGATGCGGATGATCAGCCACAGCCCGTGAAACAGACCCTGCATCACCGCCAGGCAGGGTCTCGGGGGGCTGGGGGCCCCTGGCAGAAAGCCCAGGATGGAGGGCGGGGCCGGTGGCCCTCAGCCCCCGGGGAGCATGGGGCAAGCCTCTGTTCCTTGGTGGCCCGGCCATCAAAAACCTTTCTGAGGGTAGCTTAATCGCCACATTCCGGTGCGAATGGGCGGTGGAGGAGGGGCCTTTGGCGGTAATTAGGGTGAGCTGGGCCACAGGGCCCGGCTGCGGTGACTGGCCTTCTCGGTCTCCACACCAGGTTGCAACGTGGCATGAGGCTGTCGGAAGGAGACAGTGCAGTGTCCAGAGCTGTGTGCCAAAAGAACTTCTCGTCCTGATAAACCATACCTTTAACAAGATCCCGGGGATCTTGTTAAAGCATCAGAAAGTGGACTAAGACACTCATCAGCTTTTTGGTATCTGTTACCAAGCAAGAGACAAAGGCATGCGTGGGTCCACTCGCTCTGAGGAGGGGCAGAGACACCTGCACCGCGGCCGCCTGGCTTTGCTACCCTCCGAAGTCCCCAGCAATCCATCCCCTCGGCGATGGTCCTGCACCCCATCCCCAGCACCCTCACAACATCAGAGCATAGGTTACAGACACAGACCTCCAAGGTCTCGAAGGTCCACAGGTTTGAAACCAACCTGCGTTGGCCTCAAAACAAGTCCCTTGGCTACACTGGTCATTTCTATGGACAACAGAAACCCTAGACCTTTGGGACTGAGTGGGGGCTGCCCATGAACAGACTGGCCCCCACGCCGTGTGCACACACGCCCCATTATCCCAGCGCTGTCCACGGAGGCTGCCTGCAGTGCAAGCCCCTCCACCATCCTCCTGTCCCCAGCTTCGGGATCCCTTCTGCCTCGGCTCTCTGGTGGGAGGGGAGGGGCCTGGATGGCTCTGCTGTCCATGTAGAGAGGAAGGACTTCCTGGAAGGACACGTGCCCGCCAGCCCTGGGCATTGGAGGCAATGCTTTTTGGGGGTGGGGCAGGAGGAACCCCACTGGGGACTCTCTTCCCAGATGAGCCTTTTCCTTCCTGGGTCCTGCCTTTCTGGGCATAGCAAGTTCCCCATATAGGGTCTGAGCAAGGGTACCTGGGGGCAGAGTACCTCGAGGGTGGAGGATGCAGGGTCCAGGGCACTGGAGTCCGGGGCTCCTCCCTGCGGACACAGTCTCCTCCGTGCTGATTATTTCAAAACAGCCGCCTAGGTGTTTACCAACATCGCAGATCTTTTGAAAGTGTCTGGGCTGCTGGGCAGCTAGGAGTCTGCTTCTGAGCTGTTGCTGCAGGTCCTGTGGGGAAGACTGTGAATCCCTGGATGATGAAGGCCAGCTGTCCCGGCCTTTGGAACCGGGTGTGGGGATTCCCAGGCGGGGAGAACAGCGATGAGAAACGGTTCCGTTGGAAGGTACTAAAAACACTCCTCCAAATTACCGGTGGATAAGCCTGGGATGAGCAAAGGCAGACGCTCTGAAACACTAAGGCAAGTGACAATTCGTGCCAGGTGTCTGTCCAGACCTACTGGCCCATGGGGTGTGTGTGGAGGGCTGAGACAGGTTGGCGGCAGCCGTGGCCCGGGTCTCTCCTGGGCCTGCTCCCCGCACCTGCCCGCGCACCAAACTTCCCTGGTGAAGGTTCTAGTTCTGAATCAATTTGGATTCATTCTTGCTCCTTGCACTTCTTGTGAATTAGTGCCTTTTTTTTTTAAAACACCAGGAAAACATAACTCTAGACGCCATACCGAAGTTCAGTCTCAAACTGTTGCCTTTCTAAACCTGACAAATGTCATTCACCTTGCCATTCTTCCTTCAGAGACACTGTAGATCTGGTGATGCATGAGGCAGTGGACACAGACAGAGGAAGCCATGGGTCTCCTGCAGTGGACCTGATTCCGGCAGCCAACCTTGGGGCCAGCCCCAGGGCCCTGTTGGTACTCGGCAGTGTGGGCCAGCTGGGAGCTGAGGGACAAGGAGCCACCGTGGGTTAGGCCACAGAGTTCCCAGGCTGCTGAGGCCTCCACCCATCTGTCCGCTGTGGGACAGGTGCTTGTGTGGTTCAGTGATCCGTGGAATGTGGTGGGTGGGGTGGGGGCGGGGCGCAGGGCCTGCGGTGGAGGCTCCCGGGACACTTGGTCTGTTTTAAGTTTCCAATTTGCCAAACACCATTATCCATCATATGTTATCTACCATGGATCAGTCTGTTTTACCTACCATCTATAATCCATCGATCATCTAGCTTACCTATCACCTATGTTATGGGCTGTCATCTACCTGTCATCTACTGTATCATCCATCTACCAGTGTGCCTATCATCTGTCTATCATCCACCTATCATCCATCTGTCATCAGTCTATCTATCATCTATCCATCCATGTATCCATCTGTCATCTGTCCTCCGTCTATCTATCATCTGTCTACCATCTGTCATCTGTCCTCCGTCTATCCGTCTGTCTATCCTGCATCTGTCTGTCTACCCACCCTCGGTCATCTGGGGGCTGGCCAACCCCTCCAGGCCTTGGGACCCGGGTCGGGTGGGGTGAAGGGCGCTCTAGGCCCGGGGCGTTCTGCCGCCGGGCTCGACGGCCCTTGCGGACCCCGCGACCGGGACCCGCAGCGGCGGCTGGCGGGCGAGCTGGAGCGGGTCGTCGGGCCGGGCGAGGGTGGGCGGTCGGGGGGCGGCGGGCGGGGCCGCGGCGGGGCGCCTGCCGTGCCCGCGGCGCCCGGCAGGGGGCGCGCCGGCGGGCGCGGGAGGCCCGGCCCCTGACGTCACCGCCCGCGGTCGCCATGGCGACGGCCTCACCGGCGCGCGCGTCAGAGCCGCCGGTCTCTTGGCAACCGCCCGATCTCCGCGGCCCTCCGCCCGGCTCCGGGCCGCGCGTCGCTCTGGCGTCAAAGCGACGTCAATGGGCCGGGCCGGGCCGGCGGGGGGCGGGCCGGGGGCGGGGCCGGGCGGGGCGGGGCGGCGCCGCGTGCGGCCGGCGGCGGCGGCGGGGCGCTGACATGCGGCGCGGCCCGGGCGGCGGCGGCAGCAGCGGCGGTGGCGGCGGCGGCGGCGCGAGCGGCGCGGGCGGCCGAGCGGGCGGCGGGGCGCGCGGGGCGGGCGGCGGCCCGGCGTGGGTGCGCGGGGCGCGGCGGAGGTGAGCGGCCCGGGCGGACGCGGGCTCGGCTCGGCGGCTCGGCTGGGCGGGCGCCCGCGGGGCGCGCGGGGTGGCGGGCGGGACGCGGGGCGGCCGGGGCGGAGCGGGGCTCCGGCGCGGGCTGCGGGGCCGGCGGCGGCGGGCGGCGGCGGGGTCGGGAGGCCGGCGCGGGCCGGCCGCGGCGACAGGTGTGCGGTCGCGTCCGCGCGTGCCCCCGGGGCCGGCCGTGGGCCGGGGACCGGCGAGCTGCGGGGAGCCACGGGGAGCGCGGGTCGGGGACGGGGACTTGGGCGCGGGGGACGCGGGTCGGGTCGGGACGCGGGTCGGGGTAGGACGCGGGTCGGGTCGGGTCGGGGTCCGGTCGGGGCCCCGGCCGAGCCCTCGCCCAGCGCCCTCGCTCGCCCGCCCGCAGGTGCTGCGCGGAGCCATGGTGATCATGTCCGAGTGCGGCGCGGGCCCCGCGGGCGCCGGCCAGGCCCGGCCCAAGCCGCTCCGCGTGGGCTTCTACGACGTGGAGCGGACCCTGGGCAAAGGCAATTTTGCGGTGGTGAAGCTGGCGCGGCACCGAGTCACCAAAACGCAGGTGCGGGGCCGGGCGGTGGGACGGGGGGGGGGGGGGGGGGGGGTGGTTTGCGGGCGGCCGGCCCTGCCCTGGCCCGGCCACCCCCTGCTCCTTCTGGCCTGCAGAGGGAGGGAGGGTCCGCACCGGAAGTTTCTAGCCCGGGGAAGAAAGCCGTGCCGGGTTTATATTCCTGCACGATTCCTACCGTTAGTGGAGAATGGCCAGAAAGACAAAGAAATGACCAGCAACAAGACGGCCCAGCAAACCCCCAGGGCCCGACCCCGGTAGCCGCACTGGCCAGAGGCGGTTATTTATTTAACTTGGCTTCCTCCACACAACAGGAGTGGTTGCCTTAATCCCCCCCCCCCCCACACCCCAACTTTGTGTAACTTTTTGGAGGCATTCAGTGTTGGGGGGAAAGTGTAAATGAAGTCAAGAGATAATGTTTAATATTTTTTAACTAAATCCGTAGGTGGCAATAAAAATAATCGATAAGACACGATTGGATTCTGGCAATTTGGAGAAGATCTACCGGGAGGTCCAGCTCATGAAGCTCCTGAACCACCCACACATCATCAAGCTCTACCAGGTAGGGGCTTCCACCCTCCTCGCTGGGGTGTTCTGTTGCAAGTTTGTCACTCCTTGTTTCCTGCACAGCCTGGCTGTGGGTCCTGCCGGCGGCCCCTTTCCAGACGTGGTGGGGGTCTGGGAACTGCTCACATAAAGGGGATTGATTATTTTCTTGCTGTTGGGTTACGTCGCGCTCTGCTTCACTGAAGGCTCACCTCATACCATTTGTTCCAGTTTTGAAGTGGTCACTAGGAGAATCACACCTACTCTGCGGCTGCCCCGCAGGCTCTTAGTGATTAAGACATATTTGAGTGAAACCAGAAACTCCCACCTTTGCAGATAATGATTAAACTTTAAAAGCAACCGCTCCTGCCAGTTTCCCTCAACTTGTGTGTGCAATGGCGGCAGTAAGCCTTTGTCTTCCCGGGTTAACTCTTTGGGGCCGGGTGAGCGGAGGCAGGCACCACTTGGAGTTTGCCCTTCATGCCTCTCACCCTGTTGGTTTCTTTTATGACTTATTTTTTGTTTGTGTTGGAATTATTAATTACATCTTTGAGAAATAAGAAATCAGGACTCAACACAATCTCTCACATACTTCCTAGTGATAAAGACAAAGTGAGGCCAGTTGGAGGGTTTGTGTCAGTGCAAGAGTACAGAACTTTGTAACTTAACACGACCCACACACTGGCGCTTGCACTCTGTGTAAGTGAAGGCAGGCTTGTGGGAGCTCGTGTTTCACCCCGTACCTCTGAGCGGACTCGGCTTAGGCTTTATGTGGCTATCATTTTTAAGTTGCCCTCGGAGATAATGAAGTGTCCTTCGGGGCCACGCTGCTGCTGTCCGTACCTGGGAAGTGTGCTGCATGGCTGACTTGTGTAGCCTCGGTCCCTCCCTCCTGTCTCTCCCGTCTTTCTTCCACGCTCACTGCGTGGAGCTCTGCTGAGTGCTGGAAGCCAGGGTGGATGTTCTCACTGCTGCCTCGGGCAACTCGACCTTTGGGACTGGGTGGCTAACCAGGCTGGAAGTCTGAAGCACTTCTTCCTTGTAGGTTTAAACGTCTAACCACACAGACTTTTCTTTTTCCCTCTCCCCTTTTCATGGAGAAAGGAATTGGCAGAGATCTTATCACATGTGAAGGACAGTTAAAACTGTCAACAGGATTGCCAGAATGGTAGTAACACTGCCCTTATTCAATCTACGGCTCAAAGCAACTCCCTTTAAGAGTGTCTTTTTAAAAGAATAGCTATATTATTTTTCCCCATAAGAATATTACCTCTCTAGTTCTGAAATGTTTTATAATATACAGACACAAGATTGTTTTATTTCCAGTACTAAAGACGAGTTCTATCTTGTTTCTTTTTTTTATTTTTTATTTTTTTTTTATGCTTTATTATCCGGTCGTGGGGCCTGAACTCTGGGCCTGGGCACTGTCCCTCAGCTCTTCAGCTCAAGGCCAGCGCTCTACCACTTGAGCCACAGCGCCACTTGCGGCTTTTTTTTTTTTTGCTTATGTGGTGCTGAGGAATGGAACCCAGAGCCTCATGCATGCAAGGCAAGCGCTCTACCACTGAGCCACCTTCCCAGCCCTCTATCTTGTTTCTTAATGAGGTTTGAAGTCCTTTTGTTTGAAGGGAGTACAGAATTCTTTGTCAGTGAGTAAACTTTTAAGGTGTGTGTTGACACAGACAGATGCTGAGGATTTCAAGTCCCTGTAGCTTACCTAGCAAAGCCCAGTTCTCATGCCAACGCATTTGGCAGTGCATGGGAACGGGCCATTGATTGTTCTGGCCATTGGCTTAAACAACCTGTTGCCTGCTAGGCCTTTGGAAGAAGGTGGACAGGATTCCAGAGGCCATCTCCCACAGAGCCCCGGGGGTGTGAGCTGGCCTGGGCCAGAGCCCAGCCAGAGCCGCTGAGCTCAGCACCGCGGGCTGAGTCCTGAAGTTGCTTGCTCTCTCTGAGCAGGAATTTTCTTATTTGTATCTTCAGTGTATAAGCTTTATTTTTTATTTTTCCTGTTCCTCCTTAATGATGAGTGGACTTGTCTTGGGGAAGTTAAAAGGTTTACTGGGGTTCACAAGGAGTTTAGTCCTCCTGCAGTTGGTTCCTTTCCCATAGGGCTAAATGTCAGGTCTGGTTTTTGTCTTGTTTTGTTTTTGTAGGTTATGGAGACAAAGGATATGCTTTATATTGTCACTGAGTTTGCAAAAAACGGAGAGATGTTCGGTAAGCAATGCTTGCTTTCATGCCTGTCGAAGCTGCCCTCCCGTTGGGCCTACGCCCCGCCACTCACCCAGCGTTGCGCTGTGGGCACACTCGGAATCGTGGGGAGAGCGTTGCTTTGTGTCTCCCCAGATTATCTGACTTCCAATGGACACTTCAGTGAGAACGAGGCACGCAAGAAGTTCTGGCAGATTCTGTCTGCCGTGGAGTACTGCCATGACCACCACATTGTGCACCGGGACCTCAAGACGGAGAACCTGCTGCTGGACGGCAACATGGACATCAAGCTGGCAGGTAAGGGGCAGCCCGAGTGGGGCGGGCAGCGAGAGCCGGGCCTGCCCGCCTCATGCCGGAGCCGTCTCCGGGCTAGTGACATGGTTTCTTTGCCTTTCAGATTTTGGGTTTGGGAATTTCTACAATCCTGGAGAGCCCCTGTCCACGTGGTGTGGGAGTCCCCCATACGCAGCCCCCGAAGTCTTTGAGGGAAAAGAGTATGAAGGCCCCCAGCTGGACATCTGGGTAAATGCCCGTGTGTGGACCCCGCTTCCCCGGACGAGGTCCCATGGCCTGCCAGGCCCTGACCCTGGCCGTTTCCTCTTCCCAGAGCCTCGGTGTTGTGCTGTATGTCCTGGTGTGTGGCTCTCTTCCTTTTGATGGGCCCAACCTGCCGACGCTGAGACAGCGGGTGCTGGAGGGTCGCTTCCGAATCCCCTTCTTCATGTCTCAAGGTGAGTGAGCCCAGCCGGCCAGCAGGGGCGTGGCTTGGGGAGAAGGGGCGGGTCTCCCATCTGCTAATGGGAACTGGGCCCAGGTGACTGGGCTGCCAGAGAAACCTGACCACCGATGCTTTCCGGTGCCTCACTTAGCAGGCGGGAGCACCGCCCTCCCTCATCGCCCAGGTGCCTGCGCATGGGCACGTCTGCGTCGGGGGCCCGAGGGCCCTGCCCAGCACGTCCCTGGCCCTGGACCTGCAGAGGGCACCGCGGCTGCTCGCAGCCCAGACTTCCTTGGGGCCTCACCTGGTGGGGGGCGCAAGGTGCTTGCAGGGCGGCCACCCCAGAACTCCTGTGTGTCCTGCAGACTGCGAGACGCTGATCCGCCGCATGCTGGCGGTGGACCCCGCCAAGCGCATCTCCATCGCCCAGATCCGCCAGCACCGCTGGATGCAGGCGGACCCCACGCTGGCCCCGCGGCCCGGCCCCGCCCTCTCCACGCAGGCCTACTCCTCCAACCTGGGCGACTACAACGAGCAGGCGCTGGGCATCATGCAGGCCCTGGGCATCGACCGGCAGAGGACGGTGGAGGTGAGCGGGCCGGACCGCCCCCTGTCCTGACCGCCTCACCCCGCACCCCACCCGTGGCCGCTGGGAGTGTGACTCATTTAAGGGCCGGCCTGTCCGCTCCTGACGGCTGCCCAGGAATAACGTGGAGCGGCCTCGTAGGGGAGCCTCGGTGGCCCTGCAGAGGGAGGCGGCCATGCTCACCCCACGCCTATGTCCCCAGTCTCTGCAGAACAGCAGCTACAACCACTTCGCCGCCATCTACTACCTCCTGCTCGAGCGTCTCAGGGAGCATCGCAGTTCACAGCTGCCCGCCCGGCCCCTGCCCGCCCGGCAGCCTCGGCCCAGGAGCTCAGACCTCAGCGGGCTGGAGGTGAGCCCCTCCGCCTGGCGCGGGGCCTCTGTGTTGGGAGCGGGGGTCCGGTCTGCCCGGTAGCTGCTTGCTTCTCATCACCCCCACCGCTGTCCTGCGCCTCCTAACGTGCGCCGGTGGTCTCCCCAGAAAGAGCCAGCCCTGCCACGGCACCGGCCCGGCTCCCCTGGCTGCCGCTGGAGGCGGGCTCGGGCTGGCCTCTGACACCACCCCTCCTCCCTGCCTCCCAGGCTCCACACGACGGCTTCCCCAGTGACCCTTTCCGACCGTCCCTGCTGTGCCCACAGCCCCAGGCCCTGGCACAGTCTGTCCTGCAGGCGGAGCTGGACTGCGACCTGCACAGCTCCCTGCAGGTACGGAGACCCGCACCCTGGCCTCCCCACCCGCCTGCCCCCCCACCCGCCTGCCCTCACCCTGGCCTCCCCACCCGCCTGCCCCCCAACCCGCATCCCCGCCCGCCTGCCTGCCCCCTGCCTCCCCACCCGCCTGCCCCCCCACCCGCCGGCCTGCCCCCCCCCCCACCTGCCCACACCCCGCCTGCCCCCCAACCCGCCAGCTCCCCAACCCGCCTGCCCCTCCCGCCTGCCCGCACCCCGCCTGCCCGCCCACCCGCCTGTGGCGCCCACCCGCCTGTGGCGTCCACCCGCCTGCCCGCCCACCCGCCTGTGGCGCCCACCCGCCTGCCCGCCCACCCGCCTGCCCGCCCACCCGCCTGTGGCGTCCACCCGCCTGCCCGCCCACCCGCCTGTGGCGCCCACCCGCCTGTGGCGTCCACCCGCCTGCCCGCCCACCTGCCTGTGGCGCCCACCCGCCTGCCCGCCCACCCGCCGGCCCGCCCACCCGCCTGTGGCGTCCACCCGCCTGCCCGCCCACCCGCCCGTGGCGCCCACCCGCCTGCCCGCCCACCCGCCTGTGGCACCCACCCGCCTGCCCGCCCACCCGCCTGCCCGCCCACCCGCCTGTGGCGTCCACCTGCCTGCCCGCCCACCCGCCTGTGGCGTCCACCCGCCTGTGGCGCCCACCCGCCTGCCCGCCCACCCGCCTGTGGCGCCCACCCGCCTGCCCGCCCACCCGCCTGCCCGCACCCCGCCTGCCTGCCCACCCGCCTGCCCGCACCCCGCCTGCCCGCACCCCGCCTGCCCGCCCACCCGCCTGTGGCGCCCACCCGCCTGCCTGCCCACCCGCCTGCCCGCCCACCCGCCTGTGGCGTCCACCCGCCTGCCCGCCCACCCGCCTGCCCGCCCACCCGCCTGTGGCGTCCACCCACCTGCCCGCCCACCCGCCTGCCCGCCCACCCGCCTGTGGCGCCCCCCCGCCTGCCCGCCCACCCGCCTGTGGCGCCCCCCCCGCCTGTGGCGTCCACCCGCCTGTGGCGCCCCCCCGCCTGCCCGCCCACCCGCCTGCCCGCCCACCCGCCTGTGGCGCCCACCCGCCTGCCCGCCCACCCGCCTGTGGCGTCCACCCGCCTGCCCGCCCACCCGCCTGCCCGCCCACCCGCCTGTGGCGCCCACCCGCCTGTGGCGCCCACCCGCCTGTGGCGCCCCCCCGCCTGCCCGCCCACCCGCCTGCCTGCCCACCTGCCTGTGGCGCCCCCCCCGCCTGCCCGCCCACCCGCCTGCCCGCCCACCCGCCTGTGGCGCCCCCCCGCCTGCCCGCCCACCCGCCTGCCCGCCCACCCGCCTGTGGCGCCCCCCCGCCTGCCCGCCCACCCGCCTGTGGCGTCCACCCGCCTGTGGCGCCCCCCCGCCTGCCCGCCCACCCGCCTGTGGCGCCCCCCCGCCTGCCCGCCCACCCGCCTGCCCGCCCACCCGCCTGTGGCGCCCCCCCCGCCTGTGGCGCCCACCCGCCTGTGGCGCCCACCCGCCTGCCCGCCCACCCGCCTGTGGCGCCCACCCGCCTGTGGCGCCCGCCCGCCCACCCGCCTGCCCGCCCACCCGCCTGTGGCGCCCCCCCCGCCTGCCCGCCCACCCGCCTGTGGCGTCCACCCGCCTGTGGCGCCCCCCCCGCCTGCCCGCCCACCCGCCTGTGGCGCCCCCCCGCCTGCCCGCCCACCCGCCTGCCCGCCCACCCGCCTGTGGCGCCCCCCCCGCCTGTGGCGCCCACCCGCCTGTGGCGCCCACCCGCCTGCCCGCCCACCCGCCTGTGGCGCCCACCCGCCTGTGGCGCCTGCCCGCCCACCCGCCTGTGGCGCCCACCCGCCTGTGGCGCCCCCCCCGCCTGCCCGCCCACCCGCCTGTGGCGCCCACCCGCCTGTGGCGCCCACCCGCCTGTGGCGCCTGCCCGCCCACCCGCCTGTGGCGTCCACCCGGCTTCCAGAGCCCCACCGGTGACCTGTCTCCGTCCTTCCCACACAGCCCTTGTTCTTCTCCGTGGACGCCAACTGCAACGGCGTGCTCCGGCACCGCCCCACCTCTCCCAGTAGCCTGCTGGACACGGCCATCAGTGAGGAGGCCCGGCAAGGGCCTGGCCTGGAGGAGGAGCATGAGGTCCAGGAGCCCCTGGCGGGCAGCACTGGCCGAAGACACACGCTGGCCGAGGTCTCCACCCACTTCCCGCTCGCCCCTCCCTGTAAGTCCACTGAGAACCCAGAACCAGGGTGGGCTGCCGTGAGGCCACGGCAGGCTTGCTTGTTGCAGACCCTTTGCCTGGCAGCCTCCTCTCGCCCCTGGACCCCTTCAGCCCGGCCCCCGGCCTCCTCTCATCCTCAGCCCGCTGGTACCACCGACAGCCGGCTGGCTGGGCTTGCGCTCACAGGGTTCACCTCCCCACCCCCGCCCCCGCCCCGAGGGCCCCTGGCCTGTCCATCAGTGGCCTGGGACGGCCAGGGCTCACGAGCACGCTCCCCGGCAGGCATTGTTGTCTCCTGCTCCGCCTCCGCGAGTCCCTCGGAAGGAACAAGCTCCGACAGCTGCCTCACCTTCTCTTCCAGCCAGGGCCCCGCAGGGCTTGGGGGTGGCCTGGCTGCCCAGGGGCTGCTGGGCGCCTGCTCTCGCATCAGGTTCCCCTCCCCGTTCCTGGAGGCACAGTCTGCCACCCCCGTGCTGCAGGCCCAGGCGGGCCTCGGGGGGGCCGTCCTGCTCCCTGTCAGCTTCCAGGAGGGCCGGAGGGCATCAGACACCTCGCTGACCCAAGGTGAGGACCCTGTGCTCACGTCCCCATCCCCGGGCCCGCCTGTCCCGTCCAGGAGCTGCTCCCCAACACCAGATGTACCCACATTCTTCGTTGGGCTCAGGCAGGACGGGCCATGCTCCCCCGAAAGGCTAGAAGAACCGCCCTGGCTCTGGGCATCTGGGCAGTGTGGCTGCCAGTGCGGTGGACGGTGCCTCTAGTCGCTTTTGAGAGCGTGGGGGGCGCTCGTGTCTGGTGGGTGGGGTCAGGAAGGGTCCCCAACAAAGGTGGCTCTGTGCCCACTGGCTGCCAGGGCTCCCTCCACCATCCTCCAGGGCTTGGAGTGCCCATGAGCTTGTCAGCCCACATGGGCACCAGATGCGCGCCAGCGTTAGAACTGCTCCCTAGGCCGCGGGCAGGGCTGGGCCCGGTGGAGGGTGGTCGGGAAGGGCTCGGCACCCAGCACCGCCGGCTTTCTTCCTGCTCGCCGCCCCCCAACCCCCCTCCCCGCCCCCCAGTGCGGACCTCAGCCGGTAAAGGGCCACAGCGGGAGCCGGCTCCGGGCTGATGCCACGTGTGTCTCATCAGGACTGAAGGCCTTCCGGCAGCAGTTGAGGAAGAACGCGAGGACCAAAGGGTTCCTGGGCCTGAACAAGATCAAGGGGCTGGCGCGCCAGGTGTGCCAGTCCTCCAGCCGGGCCCCCAGGGGTGCCCTCCACGCGCCAGCGCAGAGCCCCAGCCTGCAGAGCGGCTCTGCTGGCGGCCGGGAAGGCCGAAGCCTGCTGGAGGAGGTGCTGCACCAGCAGAGGTGGGCCCCCCGCTCCCCCCTCCCCAGTGGGCTGGCTGGGCTGGAGGCCGGGGTTATTTCAGGGAGGAGGTAGGCAGGGGCAGCAAGGCGGCCGCAGGCCCGTGAGGGGTGAAGCTGTCCCACAGCAGCTCGGGGAGGGCGGGCGGACGTCCCCGCAGCCTCGGGAGCTCCTTGAGCCGGAGCGGCAGTGACCGGTGTCCTCCTGTCCTGTTCCGCAGGCTGCTCCAGCTCCAGCACCACCCCGCCACCCTGCCCGGCTGCCAGCAGGTCCTGCTGCAGCCCCCTGCCCCCTACGCGCTGGCCCCCTGCGACGGCCCCCTGGCGTCGGGGTTCACGCTGCTGCCAGCTCCCCTCCTGCCGGCCGGGGTGTCTCCCGTGGCGTCGGCCGCGCGGCTCCTGGACGCCCACCTGCGCATCAGCGCGGAGCAGGCGCCCCTGCCCGCCAGGCCCCTGCAGCAGTGCCTGGCCGGGCGGCCGCAGGGGGACTGCGAGATGGAGGACCTGGCCCCCAGCCCACGGGGGACGGCTGTCCTGGTGCAGTGAGGCCCCTCGGCTCGCCACTCTTCCAAGCAATAATTTCAGATATGTGAAGATGGTTTCGGACTCAAAGCCAAGAACTTTCTCGAAGCGAAGCAAGCAATATGTTAGGTGTACGGGCCTGTTAGTTTATTTTGGTTTTACTTTTTCTTGCACTGAGTGGCCTCGACTGTGGAAGCTTCTGAAAAAATGATGGTTGGGGGTGTGCCGTGAGGGTGGGGCTGGGTGGGGGAGCAGGGCAAGGGAAGATGGACGGCTTCCACCCACAGACAGCGGAGCAGAGGAGCAGAGGCCCGAGCGAGCCTCGAGCCACGCGCTGTCTGCGGCGTGTGTCCCTGCGGGCCCATCGCGGTACGTCTTGGTTTTCAAGTTGCCAGTTCTCCACTTCCTGGAACTTGCGTGCTTCAATGAGACGGAACGCTGCTGCCGCCGCTGCCGCTCGGCCCAGGTGCGTCTGCATTCTTGGAATTCTCCCCAGAAGACGCAGAACTCCTCCGGTTCAGCGGAGCTGCTTCCACTGCTGAGGGTCGGTTTCCAGAATTCTCCCGGGAACCACGTGGGACTGGGAAGGAGCAGAAGGCCCAGACTTGTCCCAGATGCACACACCTCGAGGACGCCAATGAGTTTCTGCTGTATCTCATTTTCGCTGCTAATAACTAAGTTCTTATGCATTTCGTTGCCAGAGTCCAACAAGGACTCCTGACTTGGGGGAAATAGTGCAATATCACGGGCTGTGGCTGGGCCGGGCGCAGGTGGGCAGATGCTCACCGGCTGTGACCCAGCTGCCCTCGGACCGGGCCCCTCCCCAGTCCCCCCGGCCCCCTGGCCCCCTGGCCCGGGCTGCTGTGGCGTGGCTTTCCTGCAAGGCCAATGAGATGAGAAGTCTGGGCGGTGTTTGTAAAGCGCTGTTCCTGTTTTTAAGCAAATGCTATATGTGTGTACAATCAGGAAACACATGGACACGACTTATTTTTTATACTTTGTACTACACTTTTGTGTTTCCCATTTAAACCTCGCGCAGTCACGTCGGCACCGGGCTGCACTGAGGAGGGGCTGAGGCGCTGGGGCCCTGGGCCCGTCCCGGTGGGCAGAGACACGGCCACCCGCCCCCTGCCAGCGCCCCCCTCCCTCCCTGCCAGGTGCCTTCAGCTTAGACCTGCAGTGTTACAGGAAGGGGAAGGCGGGTATTCCTAAAAGCCAAAGATTGACTGAGTTACTTGAGGGCGGGCTGGGCGCAAGCGCCTTGTGGGGTCTCCGCCCTGCCGCCCAGCAGCCTCTGTGCCCCATGCTGAGCCCGCAAGCTCGCCACGCGCTCTGTGGCTGGCTAAATGTGGACTAAGGGTTCCCCCCGGGAGTGGACTGGCACCTGCCACAGAAAACACCAAAGCCTCCCGCCCGCCAACCCTGTGTTGGGGGCCGGGGGTCGGGGGCGGGCGCATGTGCCCTGCCTGCTCCCCTGTCCACAGAGGCAGCTCAGCAGCCCGCGCAGTCCCGTCCCCTCCCGCCCTCTCGGTTCCGGTCCCCAGGCCTCGGCACCCTGCCTGTCTGAAGCAGTGGCAAGCACTTTACTCTCACGGTGGTTTTGTTTGGGGATGGCTTCGACCCTCTGAGTTCTAGGAATGCGTGTTCTGCAGACGGTCCTGCCACAGCTTCGTGATGACGCTACGTGACCTGCTTGATGTGTACACAACTGGTTTGTTTTTACTACACCTGAATTCTTTCGTTTCTTACGTTAACATGAGAAATGTATGCCAAATGGTTAGTTGATGTATGTTTTTTTTAATTTAATATTTAAATAAAATATTTGGGGGAACCTTGACTTTCAGTTCATCTCTGAGAACTCAGCTTGGATCCATGTCACCAAGAGTCTTGAGGCGGTTCAGGCGTTAAGGTCAGGGAAGGGGCAGGGGCCAGGCCCTGGGCCGAGACTCCCTCAGGCCTGCCTCCCCTCTTCCCGAATGTTTTCTGAATCTGCCAATAAACAAAGGGGTTGGGAGTTACATAGGAGTCATGACTACCTTCCAGATGCGGCTTCTTAGAGAAGGAGAGCTTGCTTCCTTCTGTTAAAAGTCTGTGGGCTGGGCTGGGAAGGTGGCTCAGTGGTAGAGCGCTTGCCTTGCATGCATGAGGCCCTGGGTTCGATTCCTTAGTACCACACAAGCAGAAAAAGCCAGAAGTGGCGCTGTGGCTCAGGTGGTAGAGTGCTAGCCTTAAGCTGAAGAGCTGAGGGACAGCGCCCAGGCCCAGAGTTCAGGCCCCACGACCAAAAAATAAAGTAAAACTAAAAGTGTGTGTGCTCTGCTGGCAGGTGGGCTGTGGGTGGGAGTGCTACCATGGTCAGACTCCGCAGGAAACCCACCACTGCGTAGCGCTCCAACAAGAACCTACATTTCCTCTGCTGGGTCGTCCCAAAGGCCTGAAAGCAGGGTTTCAGCTGTTGACACACACATGCCACTCACAGGAAAGGCGCAGCAGTGGATGAGGGGTCGGCAAGTAGTGTGGGATATGATTCAACCTTGAAAAAAAGGCAGGTGCCAGGGACATTCCTACTCCTGATGAACGAGTAAAAAGCCAGAACCGGTGTGGCTCAAGTGGTAGAGCGACAGCCTTGAGTACAAAAGAGATACAGCACCCAGATCCTAGGTTCAAGCCCCCGTAGTGGCACATAGCAAAAAGGCCAGACTAGACAGCACACCCCCATAACAGCTAAGCCAGCCCACGCCAGAGCCCTGGCGGTGCCTCCCTTGCTCAGGGACCCAGGCTGGGGGCGCAGCGGTGCCCACGTGTGCTATGTGCCCTTGGCAGCCCTGCGGGAGTGGGGTGGGGCGGCACGGGGGCCGGGGGTGGGGTGCGGCATCTGAGTTGGCCATGCTCTTGCGACCAGCTTACCGCGCAGGGACAGGGCATCTTGGCAAGGGGAAGAGCTCAAGCCAAGTCTTGCCTTGGACTTGGGATGTGCCGTGCCTAATAGCACTGACGTGCACGTGCTTCCCCGGGAGCACCGGCCGCCATGCGTGACTCCACCAGCAGGTGTGCGGCTCTGCGTGCAGCCGCCATGTGCCTGGCTGTGCAGTGCAGACTCCGGGACTCGGGTGGACGATGTTCACTATGGCGAACCCCCCCCCCCCCCAGGAGCCGCGAGGACTCGGGAGCAGCTCTGCACACCTAGTGAGCACAGTAAACAGCGGCGTCCGCAGACGTGCACAGTCACGGGCACAGTACCCACCCGGGAAGGCCAGCTGCCTGGGGGCAGGCGCTCAGCCGCTCCCGCAGGACCGAGGAGGGCTCACCCCTTGGGGCGGGGCACAGGCTGGTGCCTTGGTGCCCCGGGGTGTGGTGAAGGGACTTTCTGGGTGTGCCTGGAGGAGGGGGGGCTGCCTCCTGTGCACCCCGGTGCAGCACAAGGGTCATGGGGCGAGGGAGCTCCCCGAGGGCCACTGAGAAGGAACCGAATCTGCTGGAGGAGGAACTGGGTGGCTGGGGGGAAGCTCAGAGCCAAAGGTCCCTGCCGCTTTTCCTCCCATGAGGCAGCGGGGTGTGTGTGTCCCCTGGAGACGGCGGCCCGGCTTGCTGAAACCGGCGTTTTTTAGTTTGGCTGGGGAAGGGGCTTGGGCGCAGCAGCCCTCTTGGGCCTTCTTCAAGGCCCATGGACCATCTCCAAGGTCACCTGCGCTCCAAGGTCACTGGCGCTCCAGGCTGCTGTTGGAGCCAGGAGGAAACAGTGAAGCAGAATGCTGAATCAGGGGAGATTTGTGGAGGGTCCGGGAGAGATGGAGTTTATTAGTTCATTTCGTCTTCCTTGGGGAGCTGTTTGTCCTCCCTCCCTATCTCTCCTCCCCTCCCTCTCCCTCTTCCTCTCCTCTTCTCCCCCTCCCTCTCCCTCTCTCCCCCTCTCTCTATCATAGGGCTTGAACTCAGAGGCCAGGAGATGTCTCTTAACTTTTTTCCACTTGAGCCACAGCTCCACTTCCGGCTTTTTGTGGTTCATTGGAGACGAGAGTCTCATGGACTTGACTTCAAACCACCATGCTCAGTTCTCAGTGTCCTGAGTATTGAGGATTAGAGGTATAAGCCACGGTGCCTGGCTTCAGTGCTCTTTAATGGCCATGATTTCATTATTTGGAGGTGATTTTTGTCAAAACGGAAAGGACTTACTGCTCCTTAGGGCCCCAGGTGGCCAGAAGGCCCGATCCCTTCCGCGTTTCTTCCACAGGGGCCCCACAGGCCAGTCTGGACCTCTGTGCCCAGGAGCGCGCAGTGTGCCTGCGCGCTGGGTGCGGCTCCCATCTCCTGGTTGGGTACTGGCTGCTATCACCAGCTCATTCCTTTCACGGTGGAGTTGCATCCATGGGGTGGGTGCGTCCTGGTTTGTTTACCCCTCATCCAGTGACGAGCGTTCGGGGTGTTTCTAGCTCGGGTTGTTATGTATACGGGCATGCCAGTACTCTTTGGAAGGTTTCCTTTCTCCAGAGTAACACAGGCCGGGCACAATACGGGCTCGTGTGGCTCAGCAGCCATCGGTCTCGGAGGATGCCTCCCCCCGGCAGACCAGGTGGCTGCACCGGCTCTACACCGCTGCCTGCCACACGCAGGGCCACGGGCTCCATCCTCCTGCCAGTGCTTGGCTTTGCCCGTGTTTATGCATTAGCCAGGCTGTCTGTGGTGGTATCATACTATTATTCCCCCCACCCCTTTTTTTGCTGTTGCTTTTGAAGACAGGGTCTTACTACGAAGCCCAGGTTGGCTTGGAACTGATTCCATGCGTAGCTCAGGTTGACCTTGAACTCATTGTCTCCTGTCATCACAGGCATGTACCAGCACTAGGCCTGGCACGTTTTCCTCTGACTAGTGATTTCTAAAATCGTGTGATGAGTTAGGATCCACTCTGCTTTTCAAGGTCATTTACATTTATTTGCTCTTTCTTTCTTTCCTTCTTCCTTCCTTCCTTTCTTTTGTGTGTGTGTGTGTGTGTTTAGTGCTGGAGATTGAACCGAGACTCATGCTGAGCCTGCTGCACCACTGAGCTCCAATCCAATCTTTGCCAATTTTTAATAGGTTGTTTGAGTTTTCACATAACTTTTATTTGAATTATAGGAGAGCTTTATGTATTCTGAATGCATTTCTCTTTGATATGTGGGTATGTGTGTGTATATATACATTACATATATAATATCTTATATGCAGAAAGAGAAAAATCTTTCTATTTGTGACGTGTCCATCATTTGAAGAGTAAAGAATTAAAGGCTTGAATAAATTGGACTTGTGAGTTTTAATGAATTCTAGCTTATCATTTTATACCTCTTTGATTAGTGCTTTTCTTGTGTTGACTAAGAAATGCCTACCTGTCCGTCTGTCCCCATCTTCCTAACACATTTTGCTTTTCTAAGAGGTTTGCAATTCCATGATCAACTTTAGCTTTGACCTATTCGTTTCCACAAGCTGATTGAGGGTGTATATTTGTGCAAAACTGGTTTTTATCTCTTCCTTAAGTGTTCGGTGGAATTCATTATGTTTGGGGCTGGAGTTTCTTTGCAAGAGGGTAGAATATTTCACATTCAAATTTCAACTGTCTCTGTGGTGCTGTTCAGGTTTCCTCTTTCATTCTGAGTCAGTTTGGGAGCTCGTGGGGGGCTGTGAGTGTCACTGATTCCCAGTGTGTTTTGCAGAATGGCGCTGTGTGCAGTGACAGCGTGACAGCCTGGGAGCCACGGCCCTGGTGCCGGCCTCCACGGGGGGGGGGGGGGGGAGAGAACACGGGAATGCGTGTCTCCCCCCGTGCGAGAACACGGGAATGCGTGTCTCCTTAAGTCCCAAGTGTGGCACAGGACCTAGCCAGGCTCTGTCGGCAGGACCGTCCCGGTGGGGCTTTGGGGGCTCACCGGCTGTGGGTGGTGCCCAGCTCCTCCCTGGCTGAGCTCTACAGCCGGGCTGAGCTGCAGAACTGCTCTGAGATCATTCCTGATGCCAGCCGGGGTCCAGCAGCAGTGGGTGCCAGGGGTCTGAGGACACAGCGAGGGCAGGGCACTGCGGTGAGCTGCTCTGGTTTACCACCCGGAAGCCTCTCCTGTGCCCCCCGGGCCTGGCTCACGCCAGCGTGTACCTGGGTTTCTGCTGGAGCTCCGGGCCTGGGCACCTGCTGCCTCCTCAGACAAGGCCAAAGAGCAAGGGGGAGGAAGAAGAGCTTTGGTGGACCAGCCTAGCCATCTAAACATGTCCAGCACAGGCTGGCCCGTGGTTGGCCTACAAGGTTCCGAGATTCCCTGGTGACAGCCCGCCCAGACCCTCCTGGCCCTAGGCTGTCTCCAACGCTTGGCTTTCAGGCGCCCTGGGGCAGGGATTTGGGGCAGTGCTGTGTGAGGAAGGGGAGAGGGCAGCTGGCCGTGCCGGGAGCTCTGCAGACAGCTGGGGTTGGGTGGGGGCTCTCCTCTCCCGGCCCCTCCTCAGAGCTGCAGGCCACTGCGCCGTGGCATCCGGCGGGTGTGCTTGGGACATTTAATGGGTGAGTTCTCTTGGCGTGGGGCGTAATTAATTTTCCTGAAATAGCAGCGCACAGCCCCTCGTCTCTGCCTCTGAGTCAGACAGCGATCATCGCCCGTCATGGGCACGGCGCGCCGTCGGCCTCTCTCAAGTCGGGGTGCTCACGGATCCTCGGCCCCAATGGGCAGCACCGAGGCCTAGGAACCACGGAATACCCAGGGAGATGCGGCCTGGGGGACAGGGTCATGAAGCTGGGGACGGATGGGATCCCAGGAAACCTTGCAGGGGTGGCCGGAGCTGCCTTGCAGGAATAGAGGGAGGGTGTGCCCGCAAGGCCGCCCG